AGAGTTAAACCTTGTCTCGACCCAATTTATTATTATATGTGGCTGTCTTTATTGATTTTTTCCGATGGAGCTTCTATTTACAGCAGTTCTCCTCCCTTTATATTAGGATAGATTAAGTTACCGAGGAAAACAAAAAAAAAGGTCTCAAGTCTTCTCCCCTAAGAAAGAAAGGAAAAAGAAAAAAGGCGCATATCCAAAGTGTCGGACAAAACTCAAAAGTAACAACATCTACCTCAGAAATGCAGTAATTTACCTTGTACTCTTTCAGGCCCTCGAAAAAATTTTAGTGGAACACAAATACACTTAAAAGATGATGAAGATCTAAATCTGCAAATAGCACAAGGATAGTTCAACTTGACGACGCAAAGATCTTGCAATCGGCAACATGAATTTGTCCTCTCAATTCTCCGTTTTTCTATGCAATGACCAACAACGCAACAATAATATGATTCTGTTCAACAACATGAATAAAGATTCTAACTTTCAAAGTTAACGGGGATGGAAATGCAGAAAATCGAAGGTGAAATTAAAGAAACAGTTACTAGAGTAGAAAAATTGATGAGAACAAGAAGCCCCCAACCCCAATTAAAATTTATTAGCAAATTTATTCTGTCTAATGTTTCTGCGAAAGAATGAAGAAACAGGATTACGGGTTAGTTATACTTTTAAGCTGTTTTCTACCGATGCGGCTTTGGTTACAATTGTAACTATGTATCTGATGACCATAGGGCAATATGTCCTCAGTGCGGGAATGCCATGACCATCAGCCTGAAATATGTTGCTCCCCCAGCAGCGCAAGAAGCAGCTGTAGGGGACAAAGGGGGATTTGTCGAGGGTGTAGTGACCTATATGGTTATGGATGACTTGGTGGTGAAGCCCATGTCTACTATCTCTAGCATCGCACTGCTTAACAGGTTTAATGTGAAGGAAATAGAAGCCCTTGAGGAGAAGGCGGTGATTCTTGGCATGAATGAGGTGGGCAAATCAATTGAGAACTTAACTAAATGTTAATGTAGAATATTTAATCGCAGAGGTGTAAATAATATCTTGAGTTCCTTTTTTTTTTTTTCAACAGGCACTGAAGTTGCTGAAGACATCTCTGGAGTCCAAGAGCGTACTCACAAATGTCTTCATGAAGAGTGTGGGAAAATAAGAATGCTGCCTTACCGTTACGTTCTATGTGTTATTATGGTTTCTAGTTGAAGTTCTAGACTTTTGAATATGAATCAATATGTTAATGTGGAATTCTCAGAATTAATATGAATCCATGATTCAACTTTATTACGTCTTGACGCGCTAGTAGTTCGAATTTCGTGCTTGATTTTGTGTTTGCTTGCATCTCGGCATATCCAGGCGCTGAAAGTAATTTCGTGGACAATCGTAGCGGTTTACCTTCACCAAGAACGATTTATGTATGGGTTGCAGAGTTTCTCTGTCACATTTCATTTGCATGTGAAGGAAAATTTAAATTGGAAATATTTGAATGGTTCATATTCATCTTCAAGAAGACAAAATGATAAGTACTCGAATGATTGATGCCCAAGTCGACACATACCCATCATGTAAACTAGCGAGGGATATAAGCACTAGAAACCCTAACTGATTGGCGGATAATACGTCCAGACGGGTATACCAGCTGCATATCACTTGAGAACAAACAGAGCGGAACTGCACATCAAAATATACCTTTTGGGACTAATTTTTTTCGATTCCAAACGATGTTTGCATGCCTTTTTTTTTTTTTTTTCCCTTTTGTAGATTTCCATGAGAATTCTACTCTTCTCAACGAGAATATGGAGATGGTGAGAATCATGACTGTGATCTCTTCTTTTTCGAAATATCATAAGGTTCTAAACTGCAAAATTTTCCAATTCAAATGTTTGAAGATAGATTAAAAATAATTAATCACATTTTCACTCATAATCCCATATAAGATGCCAGAAAGAATTGAATTTTGGTTTAAAGAAACAAACATGTTTCAGTATATCATCATCATCATCATCTTTTGTACGATTACTTTTAGCTCCTTCCCGTAATGATCCCCTCATCATCAAGATACAGATATGCTGAGATTCTTCTTCTTTAATTTATACATATATATATAATATTTTTTTTTAATTTTCGGTTCTGATTTTATGAGACTCTCAAAATTTCCATTAAGTATATAAAAAAATTAACTCTCGTATGAGGAATATTTACATAATGTGGATTTATAAAAACAAATATATGTGCGATCAAAATTACTTTTTTCAACAATTTAAAAAGAGATACTGTGTCTATTAGGGTTGATGCAATACCTATCTTCTAGGTTAAGGATTAAAAGCATTAAGTAAGTTCCTCTAAAGCTTGGTGCCATTTCACTTCCCAGTCTAGGGCTGCAAACGAGCCGAGCCGAGTCGAGATTTGAGCTAATCGAGCCGAGTCTCGACTAAATTTTACCAAGCTCGAGCTCGAGCTCGAGCTCGACGAGCCGGCAAATTTCGAGCTCGAGCTCGACTCGAATCAAGTCGAGCCGAGCTCGAGCTCGAGCTCGAGTTCGAAAAAAAATAAAAAATAATTATTTTATTTTTAAAAAAATAAATAAAATAATATTTTTTTCTTAATAAATAATAAAATATTAAGGATATATACATAATTTTACTATGAAAATAAAAAATAAAAAATATATATATATAATATACGTAATTTTATTATTAAATAAAAATAAAAATAAAAAATATATATATATACCCAAGCTCGCGAGCTAACGAGCTTAATATTCTGAGCTCGAGCTCGAGCTCGAGCTCGACTCGAGCTCGATTAATATCGAGCTCGACTCGAGCTTGACTCGAGCCGCTCGCGAGCGGCTCGATTCGTTTGCAGCCCTACTTCCCACCTTGATATCTTTTCAGTTGCACTTTCCTCCTCTCTTTTTTTGCACTTTCCTCGTTTGACTAACAGTCAATACTAACGACAAAAATGTTACTTCAAGGTAACAATTTGTAGAAACGATACTTAAAAAGAAAAGAAAAAGATCCAATATTTTTTGGTTTCGCAAAAATCACATGCCCTTGGATTCTATGTAAAACGTAAAATAAAATCATTTCATGTACAAAAAAAATACCATGTACTTTTAACAACCAAAAAAAATTTGTTGAAAATTTAAAATGCCCAAGAGAATGCATATGAGAGAGATATTTTTCCATATTTGTATCAAACCTCAATATTTTTTAATGATAAAACCTAACGTGGTTTGACAGAAGGGGAAAAATGCAGCAAAAATAACGTTCAGGTAAAAAGTACTACAAATAAAAAACCAAACGCCGTCAGACGACTTAGTGTTTAGTAGAGCTGTTAAACGAGCCGAGTCGAGCTCGAGCATAGGACAATCGAGCTCGAGTCGAACCTCTAATCGAGCTAGCTCGAGCTCGCTCGATTAGTAATTCGAGCTTCACAAGGCGCTCGAGATCGACTCGATGTACTGGTAGAAAATTCGAGCCCGGGCTCGAACTCGAGTTTGAGATCGAGCCGAGCTCATCGAGCTCGAAGCTCGAGCTCAAGCTCGTTTACGGGAGACACCACATCAGGTCCCGCCACACTCGTATTTAGCCTAACAAAAGAAGATAAACTTTCCCTGATTTATCATCTTCAATTCAACATTTCCACAACACATCAGTGACCAAAATGTCCAAAACAGATTATCTATCGCGGATCCGTGACGGTACATGAACTCAATCGCTTTATCTACTTGGGCAAAATAAATATAAATTAATAAAAAAGTTTCCATTCACAAATTTTAGTCCAGACAAAGCAAGAAAACTTTACGATCCGGGGACAAACTTGGTGGCATAGACCAGGCATTGTTAGCAACTGGGTTGTCAAGATGGTCCAAGAGATTTTCAATAGGGCCTTTGCCAGTGACAATAGCTTGGACAAAGAAGCCGAACATGGAGAACATTGCAAGCCTTCCATTCTTGATTTCCTTCACCTTATGCTCAGCAAAGGTAACAGGGTCATCGGCTAGACCAAGAGGATCAAAGTACTGGCCACCGTAGAGATCATTGCCCTCTTCGACGCCTTCAAGACCATTGATTCTATATCCTTCAACAAGACCCATGAGAACAACTTGGAAGCCAAGCACTGCCAGAATGCTCTGAGCATGGACAAGGTTGGGGTTTCCCAAGTAGTCAAGCCCACCTTCTGAGAAGATCTGTGCTCTGGCTTTGAACCACACTGGCTCCTTAAAGTCCACTTTAAGATATTTCTCAAGGACTTCTGGGGTGATGCATCCCAGTGCTCCGAGCATAGCCCCTGGCTCTACCGAGGTGGCTCCGTATGGTGCTGCTCATGGAGTCACGAGAAGGAGGGTGCGGCTGCTCCGTATGGTGAGTCGGTGACAGTGGTGAGAATGGAGGGTGCGGCTGCGGGTGTGGAACTGGAAAAGAGTTGACAGAAAAAGGAAACAGGGGAGGTTAGGGAAGGCGCCTGGCGGTGAGAATGGAGGGTCCGTGCAGCGTGCGACGTGCGACTGAGAATGGAGGGTGACGGCTCATGGCTGCTATGCGGGAAAAGGTTAGTAAAAGAGGAAAGAAAAATTAGGGCTACAGAGTACAGACGGGAGATGACTTAGGTTTAGTACCACATATATGATGAAATGACGACAATACCCCTACCCTTCGAGCCTCACGAGCTTCAACGAGCCGAGCACAGCTCGGCTCGTTTAATAAACGAGTATTGAGTAGAGCTCGAGCTCGGCTCGTTTCTCTCTGTAAACGAGCCGAGTCGAGCTCTTATCGAGCCGGGTCGAGCTCGGCTCGCGAGATACCCGGTTCGATTAACAGCTAGTGTTTAGTGCCCCTGACCTGTAAAATAACCACTCTTAAGTCTTTTTTTACAACTAAGAAAGAAAGGAAAAAGAAAAAAAGTGGCATGTCGAAAGTGTCGGCCAAAACTCAAAAGTAACAACATCCCCACTTTTGTTTTCCAATATATATTTACGGCAATACTAGTATCATCAATTGCAAAAGCAATCCTTCACTTACATTCACAGAGAAGTGTTTGACAAGTCATCATGGCAGCCTCCAAGATAGGCTTGAAACTTTTGATCGACACCGATAACAACAAACTTCTGTTCGCAGAAGCCAGGAAAAACTTCGTAGATTTCTTACTTCATATCCTCTCCTTGCCATTGGCTACTGTTACAAGGCTCCTCCGCCAGCAAGAGACCATTGGTTCCCTGGAAAATCTGTACCATAGCATCGAAAATCTCGATGAAGCCTACATCCGGCCAAACCAAAACAAAAGCATCTTGCTAAGTCCAAAACCACCTGCCGGCGCTCCTGCCTTTCCGTTCACTCTCTTGGCGCTCGAGGATTCGCCGAAACCGGAGATAACACACGGCAAAGCATTTTATAAGTGCGGCAATAATTCTGGCATTACTGGTTTTACTAGTGCAACTAGTAATGCTTGTACCTGGCATGTGACCGATGACCCTCGAGCTGTTTGCCCCGGTTGCCAGCGCACCATGACTTCGGTCATGACATATGTAGTTCCCCCACAAACTGATGGCAGCGATGAGGACAGTAAAGAAGGCGGATTTGTGAAGGGGGCGGCGACTTACATGATCATGGACGACTTGGAGGTGAAGCCCATGTCTGCCATTTCCAGCATTGCTCTGCTTAACGAGCTTAATGTCAAGGATCTAAGCGCCCTCAAAGAAAAGGAAGTGGATCTTAGCATGAATAAGGTAGGTCGATAATTTTATGCAAGTATTTTGCTTGTTACTGCTACCGATTAATCTATCCTCTCTTTTCTTAAGAAGAAAATTTCCAGTACTAGCTGATATAACGCAGCTTCATGTACTTGTTCCTTTCTTGGGCTGTCGTTTCATAAGCTTACTTCTTTTTTCTTTCAATGTTAGTTTACTTCTTTTTTTATTTCAATGTCTTCCCTTTATTTAGCGGACAAAACTTGACCGTTCATCACCATGAGTTAATTTCAAGCTTTTCTTACGTGACAGGCGTTGAAGCTGCTTAAGGCATCTTTGGAGTGCAAGACAGTGCTTACCAGTGTCTTCTTGGATGTCAAATCTAAAACTCCATGAGAATTGTCTCGTATTTCACTTTTGGATAACAATTTTATGTTCGAATCAATGACTATTTTGATCCTTTTTTGCTTAATTAAGGTACCAATTCTAAATGATTACTTCCACTGGTATCTAATTCATTTCACCCTAATGCCTTATCAGCATGCGCATATGTCACAAGAGTTTCTTAATCGTCAACCTTGACTGATGTTTTAAATTATATCTAAAAACAACCGAGTTCTATGCGCTTAAGCTGACAAAAAACACTGGATTTCTGCTTTCATATCCTTTCTCTGACTCTCTGGTTGCAGTTATCAGGCTTCTGAGAAAGAAGGGCATGGTTTGTTGCTCGTCTAACCTATATAACAGCATAGAAAATCTTAGTGAAACACAAAGGTGTGTTTCTCAAAAGACACAGAAATCAAAGTTGGAATGGACATTCACTATATAGAGGATGTATACAAGACACAATTCTTAGGTGCAATCGTTATAAATCATGCGTTAACAGTTTGTATTATCCATTACATGGTTGAAATTTTTATAGCACGGACATCTTCAAAGATACAGCAAGCCTATGCTTTGCGAATTTTCTTTTCCTCGATGCCTGATTGGGAAAACCTCACTCTCAAGATTTGTAGGACATCCTCAATTTTAACTCCCCTCCTTTCCAGCAAAACCATGCCATCTCTGAGGCAGTCCTTGTCTTCTCCTCATTTTTCCTCCAGCGTGCGACATAGTTCATCAGCCTCCTACCTGCCAAAGAGCTCCAAAGATTAAGACAACTTTTACTGCGGGTGGATACTACTCATACTTGCGCTATGAAACACAAAAAACCCCAGGGCAAGCAGACGAATGCAAGCACATCTATTCATACAAAAGCCTCCCTACATGAAGAAAAGCCAAGAACTTCATACTAAAAAAAAACCGAAAAAGTTTACTGGTCATGATACCGGATTCTTGAACACAGCAACTTGTCATCAAGCAATAAGCGCTTCGTCCAAGATGGCTTTCCATTTGCGGATCCTCTGTCCTCTTTTCGTTGATTAATGGTCGATTCTAAGGCATATAAAGTAGTCAATGCTAGCTTATTTTCCTCTGCCTACCATAAGAGAGAACACAAATATAACGATGAAGAGATTTAAACACAATTAGTTAGTTTCAGGTTCATTATCTTTGACAGAATATTACAGCTGATTAAGCATCAAATGAGAACCTGTGAGCTGATCACGTCATCAATGGACGTATAATAGCAAGTCTCAGATCCAGTGTGGCAAGCTGGTCCATCAGGCTTCCCAAGATATATTATTATCTGAAAAGTAGGTCCTGAACGTTGATTCAATAAAAGCAGAGGGCAGTAATCTGAGATACAATTGATCCACACTTAAAAGAGCAAAAAAATTACAGAATCACGATCACAATCTAAGAAGATATCACTGACATTAATGAAATTCAAGGAAGTCTCTCCCTTTGTCCACAAAGTTGATCGATACCTTCTATAGAATGTTGCCTTACGTGAAGATATGGTTGTCAGAAGTGCATCTTTATTGGCATTAAGACAGCTCCTGTATCAACATTTTGAGCTAGTGCCACAGCCAACCCTTTGTCATCCCATTTGATGCTATCTGGAAGTAAGTCAAACTATAATAATAGTAAGGTACAAGCAGCTTTAACCAAGCAAGTATAAGAGATCACTAAGGAAATATGCACTATATTCAAAGTGGAGAACTGGAGAAAGCTTTATGGGTTAGACATTATCACTCCAGACCTTGCATTCTGCAAATATGTGGAGATATAAATATATAGTAAATGGAAAACAGCCCCATAACATATTAAAGGAAGACATTATGATGTTCAGATTAGTCATTAACCTCTATCACCGGTGTTTTTATCAACGGCCTGCGACACAAGGAAAGTGGCAGGCACCTGCCAATGTCTGGCTGCGAGAAGATTACTGATTTTTGTCAATAGTTACAAAACAATGCTCCCATTTCCAAACTAGATGAAAGACGACAGACAATTCTAAATTATTGTCACCCCCCAAAAAGCAAGCCATTTATATATTGGAAAATGGGGTTCAGATGTAGCTCGTGCAGTCATATAGATGACTGACGGGCGACGATAAACTCCTTTGTTTTCTTTTCCAGACAATCAACGGTCCCCACAACCGGGAAGTGGTAGACACCTGCCATGTCTGGTGAAGGTATTTATTAAAATTAAAGGGGGGAACAAAATCTCGAGACTTAATAATGTACCAAGCAATCCAAACTAACTGATTTAATCATGCAATTGGTAAGCAGCTGCCCATGTATCAATTGTCAAATGTCAACAGACAAATCGCCCAGCTCCCCTCTTTTCTGAAGAAATACAATCTAGGTAGGGTCCAGAAGCTCGAAAGAAATCAAGTTAACAAACTCAAAATCACCATTTGGAAAGTTCATCCTCTGAATATAGTATGTGCTCGTAAAATAACTTCAGTTTGAGCAGATGACATAGTTGGCGGTCACCAGAAGCTTGAGAGATATTAAATCAACAAAGGGCAGATCAGCATTCAGCAAGCTCATATGTTGAACAGAGTTACATACTAGTAAAAAATAAAATAAAATAAAATAAAATATCGTCATATATCCAAGGAAAAAGGGTTCTGATTTAGAAGAAATCTCCGACGAACAAGACATAGTTTAACAATGCAGCAGCAATTATAGGCAGACATCAGTACAAAAAGGTGAGCTGAGGGAACTTATATACAACCCAACCAGAGAAAAGACACCCTTCTCAAGCCAGGGAAAGTTCAATTTGACGACGCAAAGATCTTGCAATCGGGAACGTGAATTTCTCCTCTCAATTCCATGTTTTTCTATGCAATGACCAACAACGCAACAAAATGATTTGATTCTGTTCAACAACATGAATAAAGATTCTGACTTTCAAAGTTAGCGAGGATGGAAATGCAGAAAATCAATGGTGAAATTAAAGAAACAGTTACTAGAGTAGTACAATTGATGAGAACAAGAAACCCCCGACCCCAATTAAAATTTATTAGCAAATTTATTCTGTCTAATATTGCGCGGAACAAATTGATCTCTTGAATTATAAGAGTCCTTGATTTGGAAGCCCTGTTTTCCTCTTGTTACTCCAGTAGAATTTGGTCTTCTGATTGAGGTGAAACCATGACTATGATTTTCTGTTCTGAATTCATTAAAGTGCAAAAGTGCGAATCGATTGGTTTTTTCCTAATGTAGACGGTATATTGAATCAGATTTAAATGTTGCAGTCGAGGAGTTAAAGCTCCGGAGCATTACCCAAGATGAATATCAACCTAGTTTTATGTTATGGTACAGAAACCAGAGAAGCCAGGGTTTTGCAGGAACCAAAAGGGAACAAGCTCAAACTAAGAAATCAATTATCAATGAATCAATGAAAAGTGAACGAATTGAACTTCAACTTTCATTAATTGAATCTGGAAAACAAATTACAAGAACAGAAATAATGGATTTAGCTAAGAAGGGGAAAGATTGAAGGAAAATTTGGGAGGGAAGAATGAGGATTGATCCTCAAGTTAATTCAGACGAATCTGAGAGAATAATTCCAAAAAACTCACTAGAATAAAGCAGACAAGCCTGCTTTTATTGTTAACAGAACCTAACAGAATACTATCTAGACTAATAAGAGTAAGACACGTGTCCAAAGCATCTGCTAGTTGCCGCGCGTTTTGAATTTCTGTTGGAGCAGCTGAATCCCAGGAAAGGCGTGATTCTCTGATCACGCCTTCGATGACCTTCTGGCCCAGTGATCACGCCTTCCTCTGCTGACCTTCACGCCTCCTTTGCTTCTGCTATCTAGCTCCTGCCTCTGTGTCCTTAGATAAACCCCCCATTTCATTACAATACCTCCCCCCCATAGAAAACCTTGTCCTCAAGGTTGAAACTGAGGAAACTTCTCCCTGATCATCAAAGCATCTTCCCAAGTAGCATCTGTAGGTTCAGTTCCCCACCATTGTATTAGCCACTGGGAGACAGCAGCATTTCCTCTTTTGATCATTCGTCTTCCCAGCAACATTACTGGTTCGACCCTGAGTAATCCCTTTTCATCAGTATCTGGGAGTTGCAAGATAGGTGTGGCTTTGGTCCCCAGCTTCCTCTTCAACAGGGAGACATGGAACACAGGATGGATCCTAGATGCAGTAGGCAATTTAAGCCTGTAAGCCACCTTACCAATCTTGTCTTCGATGAGGTAGGGACCAAAGTACTTAGCAGACAGCTTGGTATTGCTTCTCACCACCACTGATGATTGTCTATAAGGTTGTAGCCTCAAATAGACCCAATCACCTATTTGGAACTCTCTCTCACTCCTGTGTTCATCAGCATACTTTTTCATCCTCTCCTGAGCAGCCTTCAGATTTTGTTGTAGCAGCTCATCCATCTGTTTCCTGTCCCTTAAGTAATCACCCACTGTTGCCACCTTAGCTTGCTCATAGGGGCCAAGAGCTAGCTGAGGGGGTTTAGATCCATACAAGACTTCAAAAGGGGTCATCTGGATAGCAGTGTGGTGAGTAGTGTTATACCACCATTCTGCCAATGACAGCCACGTGCTCCATCTCTTGGGTTCCAAGTGAGACATACACCTGAGATACATTTTCAACACTTGGTTGACCCTCTCTGTTTGGCCATCGATTTGAGGATGTTAGGCTGTGCTCATATCCAGCCTTACCCCCTGTAGTGTGAATAATTCAATCCAGAACTGACTGATGAAGATTTTGTCCCTGTCTGAGACTATGCTCTGGGGCAAGCCATGCAACTTACTGATATGATCTAGGAAGAGCCTAGCTACCTTAGGGGCATCAAAAGGGTGAGTTAGGTTCAGGAAATGTGCATACTTAGTAAACCTGTCCACCACAACCATGATGGTATCTTTCCCTTCTGAATTGGGTAACCCCTCAATGAAATCCATGGTGATGTGACTCCAGGAGTGTTGTGGGATAGGAAGAGGTTGGAGAAGGCCTGGATAGGCCGCACGTTCATCTTTTCACCTCCTGCAAGTATCACATTGCAGTATTGTTGTTTTGATCTCCTTGAACATACCTGGCCAGTGAAACAGCTGCTTAGCCCTCATCCAACTGGCCTGAATG